AGTGCCACTCGAGTGATCTAACTTTGCATCGTCGCTAGGATCGAGTGGCGTGTCAAGTTGAGTGGCTAACATCCTTTGGGAAATGATTGTGAAAAGCTAACACACATACACATGGTGGTGTACACTTGGTGGTGTTGGCACATTTACAAAAGGAGGTGGTGTTTGCAGGGTTGAGATGGGTTTGGGTCCCTCTCTCCCTCCTGCCGAGCTTGCGAGGCGGGATTGGTGTTGGCACATTTACAAAGGAGGTGGTGTTTGCAGTGTTGAGATGGGTTTGGGTCCCTCGGCGGGATTCGGCGCTTTCGGGAAAATGGAATGCCTATTTTCTATTGCGCCGGATGCAAATTCTTGTGGTTGGCACATTGGAGCAAGGGTGAAGAAGTTAGAAGTGAAAACGAGTTGATCGCGAAGATGCTGGCATCGGTCTTCTGACCGGACGCTAGGTCATGCAGCGACCGGACGCTGAAAGGCTGCGTTCGGTCAAACTGACGGGTCTGCTCTGTACTGAGGGTATTGCACCGGACGCTGGTCTGTGTCCGGTCAAGGTGGACCGGACGCGTCCTGACGAGAAAATATGCATCGGGGAGCTTACTGGAAACGACCGGACGCTGGGGCTTCAGCGTCCGGTCAGTTTTACCGCTGCGTCCGGTCAGGTCAAGTGACCGTTGGGATCGGGACGCATGGCCGTCTGTGGATGACCGGACGCTGAGGTCCAGCGTCCGGTCAACTCGACCGGAGCGTCCGGTCAGCCCGACTTTTGCCCAGTGAAGGGGTAACGGCTAGTTTAGCCCTTGGGGCTATAAATAGAAGTGGCCCTCGGCCATGGCTGGGGTGGAGCACCTAAGGGGACTTAGTGTCCATGCTTGTGAGTGCTTGGGAGCCCTCCATCACACACATACTTGATAGTGATCATCCGATTGTGTGAGTGAGCGATTCTAGTGCGATTGCATCGTGAGGTTGCATCGAGTGGTACTAGGTGATCGAGTTGCAAGCCGGTGGTGCTTGTTACTCTTGGAGGTTGCCACCTCCTAGATGGCTTGGTGGTGGTCTCCGTCGAAGCCCGCAAGAAGCTTGTGCGGGGCTCCGGAGAAGAGCTTTGTGAGGGGCATTGTGCTCGCCCCGCGGGAGCCGCGAAGAGCAACTTTAGTAAAGCGTGTCATTGAGCTACCCTCACTCAAGGGGTAGGTTCTTGCGGCGCCCGACGTGCGGGTTTAGCGTGTGATGCTAATTAGCCGCCGAACCACCAAGTGAGCGGTCGACACAACGGGGACTAGCGTGTTGGCAAACACGTAAACCTCGGGAGAAAAATCATCGTGTCAACCTTGTTCTTCCCGTTGGTTTGCTTCCCATTACACAAGCTTGCATTTACTTTCATATATATTAAGTTTGTGTAGTTGCTCTTGTAATTAGATAGCTTGTGTAGCTTGCTAATTACCTTCTTGCTTGTGTAGCATAGAAGTAGCTCCCTTGCGTGGCTAATTTGGTTTTAGTAACCTTGTTAGTCACATTGCTTAGTTTGTGTAGCTAAGTACTTGCGCTCTCTAATTAGGCATTGGTTGCTTTGTTATTGAGCATTGCTAGTGAGCATAGTTAGCTTTGTGCTTTTGCTTACTAGCATGTGTAGGAGCTCTCTTGTTGCTTAAAATACTAGTGACATAGGTTTGTGTAACCTTACTCTTAGAATTGTTTAGGAGAGCTCTAACTAGCCCGGCACCTTTGTTGCATAATTGGTATCTTAGCAAGGTGCTAGTGAACATATATAGAGGGGTGTAGTCTTGGTTAGACCGATTGTTTTAATTCCGCATTTGTATCGGTTAGCCGACGCGATTAATTTTAGAAAAGACTATTCACCCCCCCTCTAGTCCGCCATCTCGACCTATCACTCGAGCGAATCGAAGAATCGGTACCTCGCCCGAGGCCTTGCGGTGTGGGGCCTCGAGCCCTGCAGCTTGTCACTGTGGCGGTGTGGTCGATGGAGCGGTCTTGTCCTTCGTGCACTGGAGCGACGTGCCGGCATGCCTGATCCTGTGCGTCGTGGGAGCTCCTGTGGCGGCAGGCGCACCTTCTTCTGTTGGAGGCGTGCTGGTTACTGTATGTTTGACCGGCGCGGAGTGCCGAGGCCGGGTTGATGCAATGGCGCGGGTACGCTGATTCCGAGGCTACATGAGCTAGGCCTTGTGCGCGACGTGGGAGCTCCTGCAGCCTGACGCAGGGTATGGCGCGTTCTGCGGGCGACGTGCCGGTCCTAGAGTGCTGACAACGTGGAGAGCCGAGGCCCAGTCGAGGCAGAGGCTGGACCGTCGTGGGGGACTCGGCGGGCGCGAGTCCCGAGGCTACAGGAGCCCAGAAGCGGATAGCCGAGGTTCGAAGGGAGCAGTTGGTCTTGTTCGTCGATTCCAAGGCTACAGGGACCTGGACTTGACTCTCCACGCCGCGCTGTCCTTGGAGCAGGGGTTAGGCAGCATAGTGCAGCACGGGTGTCAGTCGTGGGCACAGTGCCGAGCACAGCGGCCGGTAACCCCTGCCCCGTCCTGTCCCGGACTGCATGGCGTCGATGTGACTCCTGTCCCGTCGGCCACTCCGCTGTGCTGTGCCGACGTGCGGCTGACGTTGCGGGAGTGGTTGGACGCGTTGGTTGGATGTGAGATCCTGTTAGGGAAATCGGTCAAGGCGGCGGTGATGGGGTTGATGCCGAGCCTGCCTCGAGCGAGTCGGTAACTGAGTGCTCGTCCGAGGCCTCATGGCGCGGGGCCTCGGGCGAATCGGAGAATCGGTACCTCGCCCGAGGCCTTGCGGTGTGGGGCCTCGGGCGAGTCGGAGAATCGGAACCTCGTCCGAGGCCTTGCGGTTTGGTTCTGGGCCGAGCCCGCTTCGGGCGAGCCCAGATATTTGTTCGAGGTGGGCCGGACGGTCCAGCCGGGCCTCGGATGTGGCGGGTTTGCCAGCAGTTGTCTTTTGGTTTCGTTATTTACAAGGTCTAAGCAATTTTTTCGGTTCTTGCTCAGGGTACCTCTTTTTATGGTATCCGACAGGTACTTTCATGTTCTTTTCAAATCTTTAACTTTTGTAATTATATTTAAAGGACAAGTATTGGTTACTGTTGTATTTCTAAGAAAAAATGCCCAACCTATGAGGTTTTTTGATAAAAGTAAGCATCTAATTTTAAAATTAAAGAGGGCCTAAATATCGGTGGCCGGCAACGAGTTCAGGTAGTGCCACTTGTTGCACCTTAGAGCCTTAGACACAATAGGTATTAAGTGTTGTTGACCAACGAAAGAAGTAGTAAATCATGTAGAAGCATAGCTACAAAAGTCAGCACCCTATTCATTTGTTCAGAGAGAAATCACCGCAAAGTCAATCAACATAACCACGAGAAACTAAGTCCGAGGTCATTCCCAGTAAAGGATTTCATGATGTTATATCTAAGAGCTAGCGCCATATAGCAAAGATGCAATGAAATATAAATAAAACAATCACTAATAGAAAAAGGTTTCATTTTATTGTTACTTAACCTCTTCATAACTCACCTATAATTAGAAGCCGAGTTGTACGATGAAACTCATCTATTCTCTGTCATTGTTAAAAAAAATGAGACCATGCCATCAGAATTTGCATAGGTGAGACTCTGTTGAATAAATAAATAAATACAGATGAAACTCCAAAACAACATATCTACAACAGGCGGTACATTCTAGCTCAACAGCTCCAAACCGACCGAGATACGTTATCAAATTCAAAAGCGTGCAAAGAGCCAAGACACGCGAAACGCATGGCAGCTCGCTAGCTCCCTAGCTACGCCACACCTGATACTGAGATTGGCCTGCGTCTACGGGTGTATGCATGGTCCCGTGGTTTCATTCCGGTCAGCGTCGCCACCTTGTCCGTGCGACGCGGCAGCCACGTACCCACCCTGCTCCTGCAGCCACCGCCGTCCAATAAAAAAAATCGGACGACAAGGGCCGCGCAGCTCCCACGCCACCGACACGCGGCCCCATCCGTCAGCCTCCACCCGTCTGGCTCCGGCTGGATCCCACGCCGCCGCGACGTGACTACACTGGATGGATGTCCGGATCCCGATTAGCTCTACTCCCACTGTGCGTGTCGGTGAACAAGACGCTTCTGGACTATACGCGTCACCGCCACCCCCCCCGCGGTAATCGCTTGCGTCGCCGTCGTCGATTAATCGCAACGCCCCCACCCCCCTAATTAAGGGGGGGCCACCGCCCCGTGAGAGCGACGAGCAGGCGCAGCAGATATGAGCGCGCGTCCCCTCAGCGTCCCTCCCCCTCCGCCTCACTCTGTCTCCTCCCCCCGCCTCCGTTCCTCCGGCCGCCGCCGCCGCCTCCACCGCGGGCGCCAGAGATCTCCACAAAGTCTCCCAATCCCCACCACGCCCGCCTCCAGGGGGTCCGCCCGCAAGCCTCCTCCGCCTCCGCGCGAGGTCGGTCGCGCGCGCTCTGTCCCGGATCCGCCATTCCCGGTTCCGCGCCGGGTTTCCTGCTCCGGCTGCGCTGTTCCTGGCTGCCCCGCGCCCCGCTCTCGGCCCGGGTCCTCCTGGCTTGCCGTTCGCGGATCTCGAACCAGATCCTGCCCCCGCATGGAGTGTCGTCGGTTCCCAGCCTAGCGGCGCCGCGCCATTGCCCCCACCATTTCGGAGCAATCGCTTGCCCGGTTCCTCCGGCTATCTGAGCTGCGAGAAATCTCCCGATTGTTCTTGCGTCGTGTTCAAATCGCCCTTGCTACTACTCCCCGGATCGCAAGATCCAGTTCGCCGGGCCTTTTGCTGGTGCCCAATTTGAGGCAGACTGTCCCCATCAATCAATCGCTCTCAATCGCCCCCCCTGCTTTTTTTTCCCTCGGAGAAAAATCTGATCCCTGCCCCCTCCCACCACCACCACCAAACCACGCACCCAAGATCCGCCGCTGCATTGGCCGCGGCCTGCGCGCATTCTGCGAATCCTGATCCGAGAGGCCGCAGGCGCGGCAGCCGCTGGCCGGAGATGACGTCGCCGTACGCCTCGCCGTTCCTGCTCTCCCTGCTCCTGCTCCTCTCCATCCCGGTCGTCTTCCTCCTCGCGCCGCGCCTGCTCCCGCCCAAGACGCTCCCGGCCATCCCGGACGCCGACGAGTCCGACGACCTCGCCCTCTTCCGCCGGGCCATCCTCTCCTCCTCGTCGGCCACTCCCACGCCCCCCACCTCCGCGGCCTCCTACTTTTTCCGCCGCCGCCCGGCGCCCAAGATCGCCTTCCTCTTCCTCACCAACTCGGACCTCGTCTTCTCCCCGCTCTGGGAGAAGTTCTTCCGCGGCCACACCCACCAATTCAACCTCTACGTCCACGCCGACCCCTACTCCTTCCTCGAGCTGCCGCCCACGCCATCCTTCCGCGGCCGCTTCGTCCCCGCCAAGGCCACACAGCGCGCCTCCCCCACCCTCATCTCCGCCGCGCGACGCCTCCTCGCCACCGCGCTCCTTGACGACCCCAACAACCAGTTCTTCGCGCTCCTGTCGCAGTCCTGCATCCCGCTCCACCCGTTCCCCACCCTCTACAACGCACTCCTCTCTGACAATGCTGGCCCTCATAGCCGCCACCGCAGCTTCATAGAGATAATGGACAACATGGACAACGACACCAAGCTGCTGCATGACAGGTACTATGCCCGGGGTGACGATGTCATGCTCCCGGAGGTTCCGTATGATCAGTTCCGTGCTGGGTCGCAGTTCTTTGTGCTCACGAGAAGGCATGCCATCATGGTCGTGAGGGATATGCGGCTTTGGAAGAAGTTCAAGTTGCCCTGTCTGATAGAGCGCAGGGATTCATGCTACCCGGAGGAGCATTACTTCCCTACACTGCTGGATATGCAGGATCCTGAGGGTTGTACTAAGTATACCCTAACAAGGGTAAATTGGACGGATTCAGTTGCGGGACACCCACACATGTATGGGCCTGGAGAGGTATCGGCGAGCTTGATCAGGGAGCTGAGGAAGTCGAATATGACACACTCTTACATGTTCGCCCGCAAGTTTTCTCCTGAGTGCCTTGAGCCTTTGATGGAGATCGCAGACTCAGTCATCCTACGTGACTAGTCTGAAGCAACCCCCATTTGATGGTCGGAGTTTGTACACTGAAATGAATGAGGTATGGAAATATGCGCTTGCTGCGACCTCTCTGAAAGAATTAATCATCTTCTATTTAGGTGTTGTGTTGAGAGAAATGTCTCCAAATGGAGTGTACATAGCACGGAATGCGAGATTATTAGGTTGTTGAGTAATCTGTATGCTTAACATTTTCATAATAAAGCGGCATACTACATTAGATTGTTATTTTGTCATCAATTGAATGCTTGTTACATTAGTTTGTTTTCTTAGGCACTGCAAGGCTTTTGCTCTTGTTAGATCGACTGCATTTATCATAGAAACATTGGCCTATATGGTCCTTTTTTATTAGTGCTGGTCAATGATTAAGCAATCTTGAAAGTTGAAACACAGACAAGCTTCCTTAGGTAGTCATTTCGTTGGTAGTGAAAGAAATTCTTGTGGGAGTCTGTTGCATTCTGGCCAGAACAATTTGCAGGTCATGCTAGATTCATTGGATAAATGTAACAATGCTATCCATGCTGAACCTGGTCTCACTGTATCATTCTTTGCTAGGTCCAACGAACATTTTCCATGTAAATCCTTTACCCCTCTTCATTCTTTTGAAACTTTACTTGCCTAATTTTCTCCTACGCATAGTAGTACACTGTCAATGCTTTTATGGTTCTGCAGAACTACCCTCCTTGGTTGGTCTTGGTCTTTGGTTTCGGTTTTTTATGAGAGAGTGGTTTGGGCTGGCTGAAACCAACAAGCGAACAGGCAATGCTACTTTCGCTTCCACTGTGATTAGATGGGACAACCGAGTAGTTCCATCTCTGCCTTATAGAACCTCCTCGAGGAACAACATATCCTCTTCTGGCTTCCCTTCTTTTTTTGAAGTTCTTCTCTCTTTTTTGCTGGGAAGAGGGTGCTGCTGCTGAGAGAGTACGATATGACTACGAATTGTCGCTTTGTGAGTACACTGTTTGAACACAGCTGTTTTTTTAGTAGGGCAGTTAATGTGATCATCCTATGTATACATGGAGGCACTCTTGTGAATACATGCGGTGATGATTTGTAGGTTCAGTTGCATATATACCATCTCCTTCCCTATTTTTGGTCGTTTAGCCTATGCAACGGTGCTGTTGTCTTGCTTCTTAGACCATTCTGGTGCTTGAAGTGATTATAAACTAATTATCATGAAAGAGCATATTTGACTTTGGCTGTAGGATTCTTTTGTATAAAGTCTGTTAAGAGAAAAGGGAGGGCCAAACTGCACTGAACAGTATAATTCACCGAAGCAACCTTAAACCCTAATATGGCCAAAGTTGGGGCCTATTCTTATCGACATTTTTTATGCCAGTGGCCGGACTTGTTAGGTGACTGCTATTCTCGTATGTCCTGCATCTGCCCACTACAAACATTATACTAATAGCTATTGGCATGCTCTTATTGATTCAAAGGACTATATCTGCTCCACTCCCAGAGTTGTACTATTGATGGTCATGTCTTGTTTGGGTTTAAAACAAGAAAGGGATATGACATGTTTTTCTGGCTGTGATGTTATATTGGGCAGGGCTATTGCCAATGGACTACACCGGGAAAGCATGTAAAATTTCTGTCACAGATTGGACAGTCACACAAATGTGTAGTGCCTGTATGCCCTGTCGGAACCAATGGGCTGTTCTCGGTCGACATCTCGTAGCATTAGCACGAGCACCTTGCAATTTTTGGTATATTTGCTTGCAAAACTGTGAGGAAATATGTGATGTATGAATGAAGAGCAGAGGGGAGGAAGGCGGCGTGTCAGAACCACCAAGCTATTCTTCAGGATGGGGTGGTTTCCTCTTTGCTCTCGATTCAGTTTCAGCAGTTTCCACTTTTAGTGTTCTGGTTGCTCTTTTTTCTAAAAAAAATCTAATATTTCTTTTTCTTGAGAATGGTTGATGTTGTCAGCTAGCCTGGTTTACAGTAATATTCTCAGGAAATCACCAAACTATAACAGGACATTCGCTGCTGGAAATCATTCTGTTTTTATGCTGCAATCAGCAATTTTCTAATGTCCTGCACCTTCTCTGATCTGCAACATTCTTCAGCATTTCAACGTTGACATTTCGAGATTTTAATAAAAAGAAGGCACAGGACAGGAATCTATCGATACTACCCTGAGGAGCCGTTTGGATCATTTTATTTGGAGGAATTAGAATCTACTTAATAAACATAATAAAGCTACTATACAAGGAAAGATCATGGAAACTCAGAGAACTAATTTCAGTGCTCGTTAGGGCGTGAGTGATAATTAATTTACTTTGATCACTCCTGAGGTTCGACCCATGGCGTGGGCGCTGTAACGTCGGAGGGTTGGTGGGTTAGCTGAGGATTCACTGTCGCTGTTTTCCATTTGTTGGGGCCGTTCGGCTGCTCACAATTTCAGCCGGAATTTACTTTGCGCTGATAAAAATCACTATTTATGCTCTCACAAATTTCTCTAGATTCATCCAGATTTCTTCAAATTCCTCGTAGCGCTTGTTGCCACAGTTGGGATTCACTGTCGCCGTTTTCCATTTGTTGCCACTGTTGCTCACCAACTAAAGACACTGACCAAGGCAAAGACTGTCAGTTGTTACGACCAGTAGCTCTATTCCAAATACACTGTAAACAGCTGTAGCTGTTGTCAGAGTACGTTTTACAAATCTAACGTGACGGCTTTCATTTGATCTAATTAAATGCTTCAAAACTATTCTCAACCATACTTTTGTAAACATTAAATTCAAAGTGAACATTCGAAAATGAAGGGATTTCCATTCAGGCACTTCATCATCTATATTTAGGGAAAAGAAAAGTATAGAAAAAAGTAAAGATAGATCATGGTTCTAGATAGTCCGGTATAGAACTGATATAGGTTTTTCTATAGGCTCTACTGTTACCATATTACTAATCGTTCTGCTACTGCCGCCAATAATGTTTTAGCTCCACTTAACACCACTATCTGGTTTAGCGGGGAGATATTTTAGCACCGCTAATCTTAACCAAGAAACATATTCATTATCTATTTTAGATGACTATAATTGTGTTCTTTAGAACGATGATTGAATGTTCATTGTTGGATGTAAAGTGAATATTAATGTTGAGCATACCTATAAGTATGTTGATTGATTAACGAATGCTAAGTAATAGATTTGGAGACATATTCAGCTCGTTCGGATGGTCTGCTGTACAGTGTTTTTTGGATTTTTTTTGGATGATTGAATAGTATTCTGTGAGAGAGAATAAGCTGAAACAAGCTGGAACTATACCAGCTGAACGCGGTGATTGTCCCTAGAGTCTTGTACATTTTGAGTATATATGTTCATGAAAGTTCCATAGCTATATGCTTATGTACTTAATTGATTAAAACTATTTATGTTATCATAAAACCACTAACTAAAATCTCTATTAGCTTTGGCTATAACTTTTTATAGTTTCTGGAGGAAGCTGTCTATTTAAAACCTTGAGACAGGCAGTCCTAGCTTCTGGGCTGTTTCCTAGTACGATAACATAGGGAAAAGTCCAGCCCATAAATCACTGGCTTCTCATTTTGGCCCACAATGACCCTGAAAGGCCCATCACCCAACTGAAAGTGATGGCCCACCACTCTCACCTAGTCACCTTTCTCCCCCACCCACCCTCCACCGCTGTCACCCACGAGCTCTCTCCTCTCTTCTTGACGAAGGGCGGTGGTTACTGGAGCCAGCTTGGTCGGTTCGGTTGCCACCAAAGCGCCCCGCAAAATCTCACCGCCGACCGCCATGGCAGCCGCCGACGCGACGCGTACGCTGGTCGCTGCCCTATCGCTCGCCGTAGCCGCCTGCTGCCTCGCGCAGCTGGCGGCGGCGGACACGAACGGCGTCTACGAGCCGTGCAGCGACACGCGGATCCAGCGCGGGGACGGCTTCACCTTCGGGGTGGTCTTTGCGGGATACAATACCTTCTTCTCCGGCAACACACAGCTCTCCCCCTGCGACCGCCGCCTCAACCTCGCTGCCTCCGGGCAGCTCGCCCTCTTCCGCCCCAAGGTCGACGAGATCTCCCTCCTCACTATCAACACCACCACCGGATTCAACGCAGTAAGCGATCCTGGCCTTCTTGCTTGCTTTGAGTTTCTGATTTCTTGTTTGGAGTCAATAAGTTTGGGGCGCATCCGAATTCCGGCGGAGCTTGCATTCTGCGTGCTTGTGGAAATGTGGAAGTAGGTGGAGGTCGGTTGGCACGCCGGAGGTAGGGTTGATTAGCATTTATTTGTTGTTCTAACAGGAAGTAGGGCTGTTTAGCATGATCCTGGTGCTTTCTGTAGAAAATGTTCATCTGCTTAATCGACCTTTGGATGAACAGAGTTGCTGCTCAGTGATTTGATTCAATGCAAAATATTGATCCACGACTCCAGTAGTAGTGAATGGCCCATAGGATCAAAGGATTAGTTTTATGTAGTTGGGAGAGTGTGCATTGTTTGATGTAACTTGTAAATATCGTAGTGTGTGGTCCTGATCTTACAGGTATCCAATGAATTGCACCATCTCAATATGCTTAGTGTCGTCTGTAAATTGTGGTTTGAATTTGTTTAAGATCTTGTTGGCATAAAATGGCAGACACTGCCATTCATTAAGTAGTAAGAAATAATTTATTTCAGGAAGTCCTGTACAATGATGTCCAAAGCAAGCGACTTGTATTATAAAACAACAAATGACAAGAAAAGCAACAACTAGGTAAAAGAGGGAAACCCTGAAATAACGAAGAAACATGTGATATTGAACTGAAACCAAGCTCCCACTTTTTTTATCTGCTCCTAGTCTTTCAAGAACTCACTTTACCGGTATGTTGAGAAAAATATAAGCACAACATGCTTTAATGAGTGTTTTAACTTTTTGTACCTGAGATTCATTTTCAGCATGCATAGATCCTTGGAGAAATTGATCGTATTTTAAGGATCTCTGTTTGCTCTCCAATCTCCAAAATTTTACATTTTTAAATTTCAAATCAGGAGTCTGCTTGTTAGTTCAACGCAGTTTACCCCATTATAAGAAAATAGTGAATCTAGGCTATTGATGCATCTAATTTGCTAGGATTCATAGTTGTATGTCAAATCATCTGCGCGATGGGGAGATCAGATAAGTCCTAAAGTGCCTTTGTGCCAGTTCAACTCTTTTGTGCAAAAAGGGGGTCCACTAAGCTTGTCAAGATCCTGGTACTTTCTTTGTGTTCAGGGCTCTAAGCATTGTTGCCTCGTGTTTATCGTGAGGAACCATACTTGGTGATTTGTTTCTATTATGACGGGATGACCATAATATAGCACAAAAGGTCACAATTCATCCCCTACCGGGCAAAGTTGCTATTTTAAGGAGTAAGTTGGGTGGATCCAGGGAAGTTTTGCACTGTAAGAGCATCTCCAAAGGCTCCTTAAAGAACACTTGCTTAATCATTTATTATACCAAGTGGCCAAACTGAGTAGGAAGCTAAATTTCTCCAATAGTGTGCAGTATTTGGTTGCTAAAAATAGGGCGTGTACCTAGTGCAGAGAGCTCCCGCTCTGTGCGGGGTCTGGGGAAGGGTGTCAGTGGCAAGCCTTACCCTCGCCTGTGCAATGCGAGGAGACCACGATTTGAACCCGGGACCTTCCGGTCACAGGCGGTAAGACTCTACCACTTGCACCAGGCCCGCCCTTCATTTGGTTGCTAAAAAATAATAAAAAAAGTAGTGCATTACATCTTTTTCTTGCTTGGCTCCTTGCAGCTCGCGCACTGCCCCCAGCCCTTTCCCTGCCTCCCCTCAGCCAGCTGTCCGCAGCCACCACCAGCAGCCTCCTTGCCCCCCCCCCCCCCCCAGAAAGCCGCAGCCAGCCCCTTCCAGTTGCAGCCAGCAAGATTGCTGCCGGCCTACTGTTTGTCCAAGCAAATTCAAGGGCATGGGTATATCATTGTATTTGAAATGGAAATGGAATATTTCTATCAGTCTGGCGAGTTAATTTGTATTACATGCATTGCTCCATCCAGTGGCAGGCGTCGGAAATCGCCTAGGCTAGTCCCAGGATGCATTGAAATACTGGCTAGGTACTGGATTTTCTCAAAATCAACTAGGAATCGAGCCCTGGTTTATTAGTTTATGCAGCAATGGCAGGCGACCCCCCCCCAAAACCTGGCTCTGCCCCCTGCACCCTCCACCCACCGGCTGCAGTCACCCCCAGTCAGGCCAGCGGCAGCCAGGCCAGGCCATGCCCAGCCATCTGGGGCTGACCAGGTGGCAGGCGGTGGCCAGGGATCTTCTCACGCGAAAAGAAGAAAACCGTGCTTGGGAGGAAAAAAACTGGCGCGAAGTGCTGATATCAAGCTCAGAAACCACATGAACATCTGAGGAGTCAAGGGGGAGATTTATCAAGTGCTTATCTTTAGGAGTTCAAATATAAAACTGTTGGATGGTTGTTTTTCCCCGTGTTTTGTTAAAAGAACGAAGTATGGAGTTGTTTTAATGAGCTCTTGGAGATGCTAAGTCCTTACGGAAATGCGGGAGTAGGTGGATGAACGTTACCTTGGTGTTGATATTTGGGCTTAGCATTTCTTGGTTCTCCTTAGCTGGAGACATGGAGATTGAGTGGGTTTGCATGATACTCTGGTGCTTTCTTTTGCATTTCTTTATCTGCTTGTGTTTGAAGTTACACAGATGTTGCTCAGTTGATTTGATTCATCGTGAGATTTTATTCCACAGCTCCATATTTGTTAGATTAAGCCTAATGCTATTTTGCTTACTGAATACTGATCAAGTAAAATCACAAGATATGGTAATGGCAATCCTAACTGCATCGTCTAATTGCCCCCTGACCTAGTTAGCGTACATGCCAGGTTTGACTTGAGGGGGCAGCCTGTTGATTTTTTTTTGCCTAGTTAGCATCACCATTGCTTTTATGTTTGCCGAGAGCCATTTTATGAAGTGGGAGAGAAAAATAAAATCATAGCTTTGCTTCAAGGATAGCGTCTCTCTACGTCAGGTTATGGACTTCTACTGGATATCGAACATTTGTATTAATTTGAATTAATGAATTTTCCAAGAACTTTGTCCTAATGAATGAATGCGAATCTTGCTCTTATTCATGGTCATCATGCATATATCCGTAAGAGACATTGGTCCTATTAGAAAATAACTCTGTTTTTTTGTGCTATAAGTTGCCAAGAATATATCCAATTTCTGACTTCCTAGAATGCTAAAGCGCTACATTGACACAACGTTTCATCTATCATTGCAACTTTTTTAACTAATGGAAACCATGGATCTATGCAATGCCATATTAGGAGTCTAGGATTGGACTTCAAACCTGGCCTAGCCCATATTAAGAAATTCTGTCTGTCAAAGTATCTGATCTGCTTGGGTGCATAATTCTAATTTAAATTCTGTGAAATTGTGATGTCATATGATGTCGAAAGTGCCTTTGTGCCAATCTCAAAGCTTTCATGTAAAATGTTAAGAAATAAAAAACCGGTCCACTAGTATCTTGCCTGTTTCTGATCCTAGCTATCTTGTATTTGTCACAATGATTTGTTTTGCATTTTCGCTAACCTGGGCTCCACGACATGAAATTATATTTCAGTACATAACATGAATAAATTATACTGTTATACATGTGGCACTAAACACTGAAGACCAATAAATTTCCAGGATTTCCCCTTAGTTGTGTCTGATCTTTAAATGCTTTGCTTAGCCTCAAAGTGTTAATTTGTTTCATTCTCTACTTAGACCTAAAAAAAGAAATGAAAATGAGGAGGAACTTTACATCTTTGATTGCTAATTGCACACCCTATCTACTCATCAAGTTTACTGTCATGGTGCTTTGGTTGTCACTAGTGAACTCTGAGTGTCCTTTGTTTTGTTGTCTGTATTCGTGGTTAAATGCATGCATCCAGTGTTGGCATTGTCAGTATATCATCAAAGATGCGCTATTTTGTAGGCTTCAGCTGGTGGATTCATGGTAGCATTTGCTGGTAGGAAGTATGCAGCTAGATCTATTCCGATATTTGTATCCAACACCTCAGTTACAGTGTCCAGCTTCACCCTGGTATGAATCGATAAACACACTATTATGTCCAGCATATCTGAACACGTAACAAAGAAGTTCTGAATCTTATTGCTACTTGGCGATTCTCCCGTAGGTACTTGAGTTCAATAAAGGCAGGCTTCAAAACTTGCACTGGAAGAAGGATGGCTGTGGTGCTTGCTCCGGCAAGTCAAACTTTGTCTGCCTTGGCAAACAAACATGCGCCATAAGGACGCAGAGCTGCAAGAGCCAAGGGCCTGTCGACTGCAGCATCGGCATCCAGCTGGCTTTCTCTGGTACGGACAAGCACGAGTCGGTTCTGAACTCATGGTACGAAGTCTCCAACCTGAGGCAGTACTCCCTGTATGGGCTCTACTCGAACCTCAAGGACACCCTGAGCGGCCAGTTCAACAAAATCTTCTAGGCTGTTCTGGCGCTGCCATTGTTTATTCTCTCCTGCTCCCGCCTCTTCTGTCGACCGCTCTGAATCCTGATGTTGTGCTTAATATTCTTTTGGTTTGCCGCCCAGGTTGCTTGTATCCAGACCAGTTTTAACCCTGTCTGAGCTCTACCTTATGTACCGTTGCCTGCTGGTGTCATTTTAGTGCCCTTGTTGTCATCACCACTTGCGCTTTAACTTTAATTTTGTGATGAGCTAGCTGCTTTCCTGCTGATGACTATGTTTGGCCCCAACCCAAAGGAAGTGTCGTATTGCTGGCTGCAGAGCTGTGCAGAGTTGCTTGGTCCTCGTGATACCGACAGCATGTACCTATCATCGATCGCTCAAGGTTTCTGAAAATGTCATACTATCGTCCGGCAGTTGAGCTGGTTCAGATTCCCTCTTGGTTTTGCAGCCTGTCCTTTTTCAATGTTGCCCCGACTTGTTAAGTGTAACTTTTATCTTTCTTGTTATTGCTAGTAACACAAAATGGTATCTTTGAGGGCCAGTTTGGTATAGGAATTGTACAGAAAAATTCCTGTGTTCCAAACAGGGGCTCTTCTGAGATTCTGAGTTTACAAGGAAAATGGCATTTCATAGGATTCGTATTAGAATTATATAGAAGAAGTCCTGCATTCCTTGCTTCTATCTGAGTTTACAAGTTCCAAAAAAAAAAAATCTGAGTTTACAAGGAAGCCCTTGTTCTAAGAACATGTCTAAATACAATTACGCTGCCCCGTTTGAAACCAAAAGCTTTTGTAGAAATTACAGTCTCTTGCAAAACCAGGAGTTAATAATATTGGAAAAAGAATATGAATACTGACGACGCCAGAAATGGAGTAAATTCCGAAGGGAGTGAAAACGAGCTGTCTCCCCTTTGGCAACAGATCGTCGACCCGTTTGAAACCAAAAGCTTTTGTAGAAATTACAGTCTCTTGCAAAACCAGAAGGTAATAATATTGGAAAAAGAATATGAATACTAGCGACGCCAGAAATGGAGTAAATTCCGAAGGGAGTGAAAACGAAGCTGTCTCCCCTTTGGCAACAGATCGTCGAAGCAACAAGTTATGGCGATGGGACGACAGAGATGGAAAAGGATGGAGAATCTCAGCTGGTGAAGCTGTATATTCTTGACGCAACATACAATGCCTGCAGGTCCCTTTCGCACTAGTATGACTAATTACACGCTGCAAGTGACCAGTTTTTTCGCCGGGCTCACTTAAGCGTCCTATTGTAGTTCCATTTGTTAGTCATGGAGTGCAGATTTGTTAGTTTGTTTTTTCTTTTCACGCAAGAGCTGTTTAGCATTCTCAAACCCAAAGATTGGTATTAGGCTATTATTAGCACATGTTGTTTCACCATCTGTTACTGCTCAAGCCTGACTGACCTGCATGGAGCTGGAGTGCTGGAACAGCAGCAAATGCTGGAATCTGGATGAGGACGACCACAATGCAAGCACCATCACGGATTCACGGTTCAGCTAGGGATGGCAATCGGGCTTGGGTGTGGGTACCCACGGATTTTGTACCCATGGATGCGGGTCAGGTTATCAGGTACCTCAAACAGCCAGCAAGGGATAACTAAGGTGCGGCTATAAAATTTTATCCATAGGTACCTATTGGGTATTTGGGGTACCCGAAATATGGTAAAACTATAAGGGTGATTGCATGATTCGCGATGCATTTTCTAAGTCCTTGCATTTTCTGTGTGAATTGTGATTTACTCGAGTCCTTATGATTTATTCTTTCGGTCAACAAAAGAATGCAACTATAGGATCCGTGCCGCTCAAACTAGTTCAAGTTTAATTAAGATTATAGTAAATAGCATTAATACTTATGTAAATATATTCTATAGCTAATTTAATGGTACCTATTTTGTATCATGACTTTTAATACTTTTTTATATAAATTTGGTCAAAGTTTAAACTGTTTAACTCCTTAAAAATCGAGAATTGCATTCTTGTGTGGACGGAGAGAGTAGTTTTTTTTATGGGCTCTCACATAAGTTAATTATGTCATGTAGTTTATAAGTACATGTCTCATGCGTGAGCACTATCATTATTAAGTATTGCTTAGATGAAAATATGGGTGTCAAATTGGTATTATATATGCATGTTGATGTGAACTGTGATCACAATGAAATGTAGTTTCTTCTATATCATGAATAAAACTCGATGGCAGGTTCCCATCCTGTGCGAACACGGGTATATAATCCTTTCCAAAATAGGCTTCATGAATACGGGTAAAATTTGATGTGTCGAACATTCTCGTGAGCACAGGTATCAAAGTCTACTCATATCTTGCCTGATCTGCGCTGCCATCCCTATTCACATGCGCCTTGGATGCACACAGTGATGACAGCTGAAAGAAAACCTTGGACGGGCCTGTATTTGCATCCTTGTTTCTTGGCCTCTTTTGCCAACTGTTGACGAACCTCTTTTAGCCACACTGAAGAAAAACGCTTGCGCAGAGCGGCATCGACACGATACTGTACACAGGACGGAGGCACAGCCCACCAAAGGGAATCGACCTTTGTGTCATCATATATCTAAAAGAGGTTAAAAGATGCCAAAAATTGCACTATGAGAGGACAAGACGAGGAGACAGAAGCAACACTAGAAGGCACTCACACTTTTGCTTCAAAGGTGCACTCAAAGCTAATAGCCACCGCAACAGCAAACCAAGTGCTGCATTCTTTATGATGATGAACACACTAATACCACTGATAAACCCAAGTTCTTAATACGTTGTGGTAATCAGATATCAACTCAATGTATTGGTTTTAAGAATATATAAAAAGTATTCCATTATAAAAAAAATCAGGGATTAAGGTGTGTTCATCTAGTTTATATGTTTCTTTTATTTATTTTATTTTTTGTACATTTTGGTCTTAGACCTAACTCTTCCTTTTTAAAACTGATGCCGTTTAAAAATGTGTGCGAATCCAACTCCATAAAAGCTAAGAATCTGAATCTGAGTTTGCTACGGTGACAAAGCAAACCTTTTTTTTTTAGCAGCAGACCAGCAGTAGCAAACTACTAGTAGCAACTAGCAAGAGCACATGAAGCTGCAAAGGAGAAACACGAGGGCGCTACAAAACAACAGGGAGAGGATAAGAAGGATGACGTGAGATGGAAAAAGTGGGAGGAGAGAAAGAGTGGTGGCCACTCATGGCAGCACCATTTCAGTGCAGCGCAGCATTGGAAAGGATCTATCTAGGTGCAGCGCCAGACCCACAGGCCACAGCCAAACGAGAGTTCCAACGTATATTACATTTCCTTTGTCATGTTTGTTACTCATTCTAGTTTAAAATAGCCCCTTTAGAATGCTAAAACATTTTCCTATTTTCTGTATATTTTTTCATAAAAATAGATTTATGTGAAATTTCTATATAATTCTTGTGAAATTTTTGCATTTCAAAAGGTCGTATATATACATCAATCTAGGATTTTTGCCTGCAATAAATTTTGATATAAATGTATAAATATATTACTAAATTCATCATGAAAAGGTACTCAGAATATTACTAAATTCATCATCAAAAGGTAATATTCAGTTACCCCTGTTTGAAATGTCATATTCGATTACCTTGTAAACCGTATAGATGCCCTAAATGAGATGTATTTTGAATATGAGAGTGCTAGTACTACCTATCTTAAAAAGATGCAATTCTAGTGTTAGGTTAAACCCTCTTGAGTCTAATCAAATTTATAAAAAAGTATTAATATTTATCATACTAAATAGGTATAATATGTATAATTAGATTGGTCATGAGATACCTATTTAAATCATATAAACTTAATTAAAATTAAAATAATTTGACTTGGACTAAATCTATAATTGTATCCTTTCTGGTAAGGAGGGAGAGTGGCTTGCTATCGAAGTGACACTTATTTTCTTTGGATCTTGGAAGAAAAGTTTGTGATAGTTGAGATAAACATATTTTCACTCAGTTCAAGGACGATTCTGGCTACTTTTTATATATAGTTGCACAAATGAAATTTGACAGCCACTCTTACCTGACCCTTTTTAATTGTAGAGAAATTCCATCATGCTTAGAAAAAAAAACAGTCATTCATTCAACAAGATCTAATAATGGTTAAAAAAAATAGGAGAAACCTACTCGAAGACACTTAAATTGTGAGCCGATCTAAAATTAGTGGACTAGAAACAGTTTTAAAATTTATTTTAAAGGGTATAATTGTACTTTTATACCTCAAGGTTATTTGATTCAGCCCAACCCAAAAGAAGTCCACGATCCATAGTGGATTCTTGTGGGAGAAAAAACAACCGGCACAAAATGTTGATATCAAGCGCAGAAAGCACGCGAATATTCGAGGAGTCAAGAGGAAGATTTACCAAGCGCTTATCTTTAGAGAGTTCAGGAATTTAGATACAAAATTGTTGGATGGTTGTTTTTTCTTTTAAGAAGTTTTAAGGATCTATTTAAGATGCTCTAAGCTTAGTTTTATATGGCTTGGATCGGGGGATTATAAAAAATCCCTAGAACACCAACTAGGTGCCCAAGGTTGGGTAGAGAGCTTGAAGATAAGGTTCCTCATCCTTGCTCTTCTTATTCCTCCTCTTCACCACAAGCTAGGGGCTGGAAGATCTATTAGCTCCACTATAGCAATGGAGAGGGTCCTTGGGTCATATTGTAGCTCCTTGGTGAGTCCCTTGACCTTCTGTTCCTCTTCCTCTTCCCTTCTTCTTCATCCTTAAGTTTTCCTCTTTTATTGACTAGAGAGAGAAAGGTGTGATAGGGAATGTCAAGGGAGAGACGGAGGTGTTGTGAGGCTCGTATTTGTGTATTTGTGTTGACGTGCGGGGTAAGGCGTGAAGGAAGTGGACACCTTACATGTATTCTGGCGGACCGTCCATCAATGCATGACTTTGTTTCACTAACTAATTCAGCTAACATAATGATATGGCACCTGTCGAACTGTTTGACGACCATAGCTACACTCCGCCATATCACTGAAAGCG